GCAATAAAACACACAGTTTAGCTATTATTACACACCATACATGCATTATATATAACTATCAACATTATTATGCACCATTATGAAGCAATACAGTTATGGCGGGTGTGATAATGTCATAACCAATGCTTCAAGTATAGCATGGCGCAACACACTCCTCGGGTGCAGTCGGCACCTCACCAAGCAACGTGCCACCAAATACATTATGTATAATGCTAACTCTAGCCACAGTACTGCTATTATCATCAGAATCCTGGTACCTAAATCCTAAACATGAATACTTTTTCACATGTTCAGTTCTAAAGGAACAACGAGATCCTGTTGCATGAGTACACACACTAAACTACAGTCGAGTGCTGTGGCTGTCTGCCTTGCGCTATAAACATCACAGCCAACAAAGAGGCACTTGATATCTTGAGGTTATCTTGAGATGATTTCGGGGCTTGGTGTCCCCGCGGCCCAGTCCTCGACCAGGCCTCCACCCCCAAGAAGCAGCCTGTGACAGCTGACTAACTCCCAGTTACCTATTTACTGCTAGATAACAGGGGCATCAGGGTGAAAGAAACTCTGACCATTGTTTCTCGCCGGCACCCGGGATCGAACCTGGGACCACAGGATCATGCGCACAGTGTTCTGTCCACTAAGCCACCAGCTCCCTTGGTATCTGAACCTTGTACATAATCTTTATCACTGACAAGATCTTTTATGTCACTCATCATCAAAAAACAAATGCAGTTATTTATAATATTTCATAATTATTAGGTGGTGTTATAAGCACGAGGTGTATGGCAGTGGTGTGAGCTGTTGTTGCACGTGCAGCTTGTGCTCTTACTACCGAGGCCCTTCACAACCAGGACGGGTGCCCAGGGTTTTTTTTTTATAATGGAGTCTGTTTACCGAGGGCCTCGGGAATTGGACGAGAGCCCAGTGGAGTTTTAAATCTTACACAGTACTTTAACATACTGTATCCCTGATTGTGATGTACAGTTGAAGGATCAATGGTGATCACATCCCTGATTGTGATGTGCAGTTGAAGGATCAATGGTGATCACATCCCTGATTGTGATGTACAGTTGAAGGATCAATGGTGATCACATCCCTGATTGTGATGTGCAGTTGAAGGATCTATGGGTGATCACATCCCTGATTGTGATGTGCAGTTGAAGGATCAATGGTGATCACATCCCTGACTGTGTTGTGCAGATGATCTTAGCCTTAAAATTTAAGCATAAAAGTGTGCAGAAGTGTGCTCACTCATGGGTAACGCTCGGCTGATTTTCGGGTTTGCTGCAGGTGGCACACCGGCCTTTTTCTACCCTATTAGCAAATATCCCTATAGAGAATTCTACTGCAAACAATTTGTTATCAAAATGAACAATGTAACACAAAGACTGACGTGTGAAAACTGAAAAGAGTATGCACATTTTAGTGTGGGTGCACATTCACGGGAAAAGCCAGTCCACCTTGGGAGGGTTTGGGAAGCATGTGTTGGGCCGCTCAAAGTGATAACATAGGATAAAAACCCACACTTGTGTATTTGTAATTTTTATGTAAAGAAATTACACCAAGTCTCCAGAGTGCTGTCTCAAAGTCTGAATATGTGGTTAGGACGAGACTTACATCTGCGTTTCATCTACTCAAGAGACTTTGAGATGTAAGTCTAGTCCTAATCACACACTCAGACCTTGACAAAGCATTCAGGAGAGAGCAAAAGACTTGGTGTAAATTCCTTACATCAATTTTACAATTACACAAGCGTGGGTTTTTATTCTAAATAATAATAATAAAAGAAATTGCACTAACATAATATATCTATGACAAAATTAACTGGAGCACTTAGGTGACTGGAAGCAGTGATCTAAGTACGCCCATCTGCGCACCTTACCCCTGTACCACAACAAGGTTTAAGTTGTACAACCTGGGGATTCAGTGTCTACAGGACGGCTTGAGAATCCCTACTGAAGCTAGTCCAAGTTTTACGTATGACCTTGTACCCTGACGTAGGTAAAGGTGTTCATCAACTATACACTCCCTTCAAATACAAAAAGAAAACACACTAACATGATATATTAACGAGAAAATCAACTGGAGCAATGAGGTAAGGCGTGCAGCTGGTAATATCCAGATCACCGTTTCAGTCACCTTATTCCTCCAGTTGATTTTCTCATCGATATACTGTATCACTTTAGTGCGATTTCTTTGTGTATTTGAAGGAAGTGTATGATTGATGAGCAACTTTACCTACACCAAAGTGCACTGGGGTTACATGTAAAACTTGGACTGGCTTCAGTACAAGCCTCCAGACATCTGTGGCCTTGGTGGAATCCCAGATTGTATAACATATATCATGTTATGGTACAAGGGTGAGGTGCATGGCTGGGAGTACCCGGATCACTGGTTCAAGTCCTCTCATTGCTCCAGTGGATTTTCTTGATGATGATATTTACCCAAAAATTATAAAATCACACATTAAAGTTTTTCAAAAGACATTTATACACATGTGAAAAGCCTGCCGAGTTGTGCAATGTGTGAAATATCTTCAAAATCACATGAAAACTAAAACTGAAATGGGAAAACCTAAAACTGATGTTTTGAGATCTGAATTTTCCCACCAAAACTGTAGCATCATGCAGCTTCAACAACATCCATATTCATTATCAAATTTACTTTGCAAATGACCTGTATTTAGTTAATCTGATTATGTTTTATGTTTACACAGAAAAACATGTAATCAACCAGACCACACACTCGCCTTGATGCCTTGCCATTTGAACCAACCTCCTGGGAATGTCACCTTTGACATACCTTTCTTGTCATTACTGTGGCCTTTTTGCTGGCCCTGTTTACAATGTTCAGGCCTTCTGTACCTTCAGGCAGATCATGTTCCTCCTGAGGGATGACGTAATTTGTCATCTATGCCCTATATCTTTGAAGAGTTTATCAATCTTTTTGCCATGGATGACTACCTCTTTTTGACAAAGTTGACCTGCTGATTACAGCTCCTAAGAGCAACTCAAGCTTCCAGTAAGGTTGCAGGGCAATCCTCCTTGTCATCCTCTACTTTTTCAGCATCTTAACTGCATAGGCAGTTATATTTGTTAATATGTCTGCATCCATGTTTTTGTCCCGAGGCTTGTAGTGCTTCTTTCAATGCCGGCAGTCAGCTTTCTGCCTCTCTTCTCTGCCCGCCAGTGTGATTTTGGGTTAAGTGATGCATTCCTAAGTACTTGCCTCACCTAGTTGTGCTTGTGGGGGTTGAGTTTTGGCTCTTGGGTCTGCCTCTCAAATGTCAATCTATTGGTGTACAGAGTCCTGAGCTTCTCAAGCTCCATCATATCTACATTTGAAACTGTGTTGAGGAGTCAGCCTCTCTAAGTGCTTCCCTATTTGTTTACGTCTGGCTTCCAGAAACTTGATATTCATGGTTAAGTCTACTGAGGTTTAGCTTCTCTTCATTGACCACTTAAACCCTCAAATGAAAACAAAGGTGCCAAAAACAAATCAGAAATTCATGTTTACTAAATGGATAGTGTATGCTAAAAATATCAGAACAAAGTGAGATAAATATACATAGTACGTCCAGCATAGGCCACCTGCACAAATGACTAGTAGGTCAATGGATGTACATGCTTTTGTCTCAGCCTGCTGATCTGTCGCTTAGCTTAGGAGTGTGAGACGCCAGTGTGGGCCAGGCTCTGCCATTTGTTAGGGGGTACAGTACTGCGTTGCTTCACAAGTCAGGCCGGGCTTGGGGAGTAGAAGAACTCCCAGAACCCCATCAAGCAGGTATCAAGCAGGATTAGCAGGTAGTGAGTTGAGGCTGTTTAATAGACTTGTCTCATCTCAGGGGACAACAGCCCTTACATGCACAATGAAGATATAAGAACAGTCGTGTGTACACCCGAGGAGTTGAGGGATGTAGAGGGTTAGATCCTATTGTATGGCTTCAATATTGTCTCAACTCTTACATCATTCTGAGTGTATATGAAGTGTGTCTTTCTGGGCTGGAATAACCCCCCCATCTCCAGTGACCTCTCTAGTATTTTTTAACCCCACTTTTTTTTTTACCCCATTTACAATGCTTCTGGTGGATCAATGATGAGAATGTCACCATCCAAACTGAGGCAATTGTACAGTAAAGGACAACCAAAAATGTTAAAAACTTGCTGTTACTGTCTATGCTGAATAATCTAAATCATATGGAGCCCATCCCCACTCCAGTTAACCCAACATTCACTTCAGCCAAATTTCTCACCAGGAATATTAAAAAATTAACATTAAATTTTTTTGTACCACAACCTGGCTACTCTTGCCATTTACCCATATACCCCTGCCATTTACCTATATATTCCCACCATTTACCCATATACTCCCACCATTTACCCATATACCCCTGCCATTTACCCATATAATACCACCATTTACCCATATACTCCCACCATTTACCCATATACTCACACCACACAGGTAACTGCCCCACCCCTCACAGTGCTCAAGAGAAAACTTTATAAACACTTCCAAAGGATACCTGATCAACCAGGCTGTGATCCATACATTAGGCTGTGAGCAGCCGCATCCAACAGCCTGGTTGACCAGTCCAGCAACCAGGAGGGCTGCGGGGACGTTGAGCCCCAAAATCATTGCAAGGAAAGGTATGACTCTCCATTTAATATTTGATCAATGTACATGTGCAACTTTCTATTGTACCATAACTGATCTTACCTTAATGCTCTGCATATTAGTACCTTTATTACCTTATAAAATATAATATAAAATAATATAAAATTATATTATATTATATATATATATATATATATATATATATATATATATATATATATATATATATATATATATATATATATATATATATATATATATATATATATATATATATAATGACATTGTGTACCTACAAATACTGCATTGCATGATTCTCCAAATGTATTTTGTATTTTTGCAAAATAAAAATGATTAATTATTATTTAGGAGTACTATCTTACCTAAGAACATCGGTAGTGATTGAAGAATCCAAAGGGTGGACCTTGTTATTTGTGCTATGCAAGAATTCTTCAGACTGGGTAATTCCTGGAGAATGGAGGTGGAGGGCTGACTTGAGAAATACCGGACAAGACGATTCAAGGTGAGGGCATGACGACCAGAACCATCTTGGGAGCCGCCCAGTTGACGCCGTCGACACATAATATCCAAGAGCGAGAGGTTGTTGCAAGACAGAACCACCAGAGGCTTCTTGCGGATCAACCAAAACCACTCCATTGCTACGAGCTTGTCCAGAAAACTGGGAGGGACTAGTTCTGCCACGTCCATCCACTGTGGGACTACCAGGTTGGGATAACGAGTCCCTCTGGCCACTCCCATCTTCCATCTGATCATCCTGATTTGTACCAGTTTCAAACATAAAAATATCATTCAAGTTTAGTCTCAATCCACTGACCATATCCATGCCACCACCCATGTCATCTGCTAAAGCTTCCTCATCCAACAATAAATCTTCGCTTTCAAAGTGAAATGTTTGCTCATCCTGAAATCTCTGCTGTGCTGACTGAAAAGAAAGAAAAAAAAGGAAGCTATTATAACTAATAATAATCATCTCAAAATCAATCATTGCTGTAGTTATAAGTGTGTTTCAACAGTGATAGACAACAGATATAAGCAACAGCACAACTCTTGACATATACTAGTCAATATATATAGTCTAGCCTGGCCTCGGCTGGGCTTGGGGAGTAGAACAACTCCCAGAACCCCATCAACCAGGTAATATACAGAATAAACAATAACATGGCTGAAGGTAAGTAACCCAACTCTCACACTGATGTGATACAAAGGACATCAATGGTCTCCCCCTCCTCAAATTTATTCACATAATTCCTATTGTTGGGAAGGTTAGTGTGTACTTTAAACTCATACTTTCATACTTCATACCAGTAGTATTAACTTGTACTAATGGTATCCTGTGTGTTCCAACTTCTAGCAATGACTTTGGATAGTAAATTATCACCAGAGGATTACACCAAAGGCATAGTGAGAGAAGCCTAAGCTACCTATACAGCAGGAAATATACAAACCTAGTTCAGCTTACAATAACTATAAATAAAATATATTCAAGCTCTAATAAATGGGGTAAATATTATAGAGGTAATACAGACCTGTGCAGTAGCAGATGTTGGGAAGACCAGTATGTGTGTACAAGTGAGATCCTGTGGTGTAGACAGACTGCAGTTTTGACTATTTTGCCCGAATCTCTCATCCGGCGTAAACATATCTGGCATCATTCGAAAAGAAGAATCAGGCTCCATGGAAACCAAACACGCAGAAAGTATACACGGCGCAGCACCAGGAAAGAGATACGCACACTGCTTGCACATCTCCTTTAGATTTTTGGATGCTTGCGTGAGAGACTTCCGCGAGAGTAAAGACGACCATCCTTTTAATTCTCCATGTCCCATTCTACCCAATCTGCCAACAACCAAACGCCAGGGATGGACCCCAATGGACATGACACTTAATATCCAATCCATCAGCTTTTTCAGACCATGACGCCGTGCAGAAGCTTTCTTTCTTCTTGTTCTAAAATAGGAAGAAAATTATATTAAACATGTATTTCATTCAACAATCACCATTACCCTAATTGCTATTTTTATTGGATGGGGTCAGCACTGGCTCATAGAAAAGAGTAGAGATCTAACTCACTACAATAAACTATCATGACAATGAAATAAATCTTGAAACTCAGCACTATCACGCTCCAGAAAAGACAAAGCAACAAACTTACAGGGAAAAATATTACCTACAAATAAAGCTTGCAACAAACTTTATGCAAAGTGAAAAAATATTAAGGCCATACATGGCTTCAATATTTATTCATAGATTGATCACGTTCTTGGGATTCCAATGTCTGTGCAAAGTGTTTCCCATTAACTACTGAACCTGAATCTTTGATATAACCTTCAACACTTCTATAATTGATTCCACCTTCCGTTATTCCCGACAAAATCCTGTATACACTCAATTTCAACACTAACATTCACCACATCTACCCATCTTCTTCTTTGTTATTACCTCCTACAATCAAACACTCAAAAATACTCTCTCTTCACCACTTACATCATCAATAACTTGTTCTGTATGACTGAACCTTCTCTCTACCCTTTCCTCAGTCTATCAACACACAAACTTCTGCCCCAACCATTTATCCAAGCTGCCTCAACCTACAAGTCTAATTGTGACTTTCATGCTCCAGAGATCCCACAGCAATGGTAATACTATTTAAATCACTGTTGTTGTCCCGTCTTGAGTATTGCTCGGTACCCACTTCCCCTTTCAGAGTGGGAGAGATCTCTGAATTAGAGGGGAAACAAGGCTTCCTAATTATGACTTTCATGCAACAGCCACAACCTTCCCTGATTTACTCTACGTTCAACTTCTGTACAAGTTCCTGTTTTCCTGTTTTGTAAACTACAGATAAAATGCCTTCTACATTTACCTTAACTTCACATTCATCTGCATTATATACTCTAAATTACACTGACTGGCATTAGCTTACATTGCTTAGAAAGGTTGCCACTGTTCATATAGGTATACATTTGTAGGTACCATAGAGTACATCTATACAGTGTGTATGTGTGTCCAACATACACACATTCCTTCTTTCTCCACTGCCAATTTAATCTCCATTCATTTTTTAGTAGTTTTATTATATACATCACTAAAATTTTCAACTAATCTACATAAGGTACACCCCATTTTTCATTCAAATAAACAGAAAATATACATACTAAACAAAAACTAAACTAAAAACTGAAGAAATTCTAAAGTAAAACTAAACAAATTAAACTAAAAAATTCTGTCAATTATTCTCCCTCAAGTCCCCATCACATACTATGTATAAACTTATGTTTGACAAGCCACCAGCTTTCTGTCCCCTGTTCAGGCCACTAAAGATCATGGACACTGGGTAAATTCAGGTATGCAGATTAAGGCCAATTGTACCAACATGGCAGAAAACTCCAACAAAACACCTACTCCTGGCAAAAGTAATACATTGTATATACATACATATAAAATACAAATACACATTTTTTGTATATACATTGTGACGATAATCTCCAAGAGATTGAGCCTGCTCTTCCCTCCATAATTACGTCGTCGAAATTATATAAAACGACTATGGAAGACATGTCCAACAACGACAACAACACCAGCAAGGCTTGCCAGGGTGAGCAAAACGTATGCAGCCAGCCACCTGTTCGGACTCAAACCACCAAACTACATGTTGATCGCTGCCGGCTCCGCTGATTGGTCGCCGGTCTGGCTGCACCTGCACTCGCCCCCCCATACTACTTGATGTCTGGGGTCGCCACGACCTCAGACCTCAGAATATTCGGTGCTCTCGTTGTCACCACTCCTCCCGGCTAGACGCTAGCGTGTACTGAGAGAAGTGGTGGCTTAAAGCCAATATTCCAACACCTCCCATTTACTTTTGTATTGCACTTCTTGTTATTTTGCCTTAACGTAACTTTTCATTGTGTCATTTAATTATTCTTATTATTTTGATTGATTGATTTTATTATACGAATTTGTTTGTCCATTTTTTCATGTTTTGATTTATTTAACGTAATTAAAATTTCATTGTTAAAGTTTACTTGTGTTTTGTGTGTCTTCTCCTTACCTTACCACAGACGAAGTTCCAGTTTTTTCTATTTTTTTTTATAACTATGTGACGAGGCCATACCCCTAGCCTTAAACAGCCGAACACCAACGCGTTACCGTCACAACATACAAAAAAATACATTGTAATACAAAAGTAATACACTCAGCATTGCTTAACTAAACCTTTCTAAGACTTTTCTAGAATCTTACCTGTTTGGAATTTCTATACTGATGGTAACGGTTTCTAAAATTTCTCCTAGCTCATCGGTGGCTGTTGCCAGTAGCCATCTTTGATCTTCAGACAAACAGTATGTGCAATTGAGGATAGTGGACTTCTCCCGTGGTACTCCCAAAGCTTCTTGCGCTTCTTTGTAAGTACCACGGCTCTCCTTTATGGGTGCCAGAATATACGCCGGAGAAAAGATGTGATACGGCGCCAACCGTTTCTCTTCTGCAGCAATCTGTTGTGAAAATAAAAACTTCATTACAAAGCAGAAGTTAATTAATTGCAGTTAATGTTCTTTATATGTGCCTTTGGTGAATGTATACAACCTCATAGTCATGTCACCTCTCCAAAAAGACTATCTATCCACCGTGTCTATCCTCTACAGTATTTTAGCCAAAGTCGTCATGTCTTCCTACGATCAAAGCATGTCCAGTTCAATAATCGTGAGAGGTATCCACAAACTTAAGATACAAACAGGCCGGAGTAATGAACAAAGGCTAGTATTTACCTATTAAGTCTACAGAAAATGAGATCTGACTCTTTGGGCTCTGTCTTCTAGCTTACAGTACCCGATACATTTATCTACTGAGATTTAGTTTACTATTATCTTTAATCTGGAAATTATGCAAGACAATGGCTGGTTCTACTTCTCTGAGGCAATTCTACCTGTTTATGACCCTCCCCCGCCACAGTATACAATTTCTTTTGCATTTCAAACTTCTGTAATTACCCAAGCATAGTTACAGGATGATAACTACCCTCGTGGTGTCGCGTCTTCCCAATACTCTGTGGTATAACCCTTTGAATCTACTGACGGTTTTGGCCTCCACCACCACCTTACTTAACTTGTTCCAACCGTCTACCACTCTGTCTGCAAAAGAAAACTTTCTAATATTTGTTCGACACCTTTGTTTCCTTAGCTTGAATCTGTGTCCTTTTGTTCCTGAATTTGCTGGCTTTAGGATTTTGCTCTTTATTAATTTGGTCAATTCCTGTTAGTATTTTGTAAGTGGTGATCATATCACCACTTTTTCTTCAATCTTCTAGTATTGGCATGTTTAACATCTCCAGTCTCTCCTCCTAGCTCTTGTTTTTAAGTTCCAGAAGACATTTTGTAGCATGCCATTGCATCTTTTCCAGTTTATTTATGAGCTTCTTGAGATTTGGGCACCATACAACTGCTGCATATTCCAATTTTGGTCTCACAAAAGTTCTGAACAGTTTCTTTAATATTTCACCATCCATATAATTAAAAGTAAGTCTGAAGTTGGAAAGTGACGCATACACTCCTCTCACAATGTTCTTTATATGTGCCTATGGTGAATGTATACAACCTCATGGTCATGTCACCTCTCCAAAAAGACTATCTACCCACCGTGTCTATCCTCTACAGTATTTTAGCCATAGTAATCATGTCTTCCCTGGTCACCCTCTCCTATAAAGTTATGTTTCTCTCTCATTATTTGTAAAGCTTATTTAAGTCTAAACTCTTATTTAAGTCAGCAAATATGTTATCTTGAGATGATTTCGGGGCTTAGCGTCCCCGCAGCCCGGTCCTCGACTAGGCCTTTTTGTTACACCCCCCCCCCCCCAGGAAACAGCGCATAGCAGCTGTCTAACTCCTAGGGACCTATTTACTGCTAGGTAACAGGTGCATCAGGGTGAAAGAAACTCTGCCCATTTGTTTCCGCCTCCACAGGGGATCGAACCCGGAACCTCAAGACTACAAATCCGAAGCACTGTCCACTCAGCTGTCAGATCCCCTACCAGTTCTCACCCCTGACCTCAGCGGTCAGGCCTGTTCACACCACTGGATTTCTTAATCTTTATTTTATACACAAAATGAAGATTCCTTGTTAATGCTACAAATTGTATAACTCTTCTGATGTACATTTTTAATATGTTTTTGAATCCCAGCAATACTTTTGTTGATATTCAGTTGCTTGAATATAAATGACTGTTCCTTGCAATATGCAACATTTCTCTAGGTACCCAGATAAAGTTTGTAGATCCTGAAGTGTATGGCCAGGTCCTCTGACCTTCCAAGATGGTGCATGAACTTTGTACGTATTAAGTGGTAGCATCAATACTGACAAAAATGCCTCCCTCGCACCTCTCACCTATTTGTAGGAATGTTTTTCCGCGAAATTAAGGTCAAATAGGATTTTTTTTTATGTAATTATGGAAGCTTTTGTACACTGTGGTATACATACAAGTTACATAAATAATTATATTGTAATCAATTTACTTGGTGGTGTCTTTTCTTTAATGTGTATATAATGATGTAATCTATCTTATGGAGTTGATGCCTTACTCCCAGGAGCTCCACATCACAGGGAGCAGCCACGTCAGAAGCAGCCACACTTCCTGTCTTGTAGTTTAGATATGCTCATCAAGAAAACATGCCACAACCTCGTCAAACAAATAGAATCGTGTCAGGAATCCACAAAATCTAAGAAATAATTAATGTCAGTCCCAATATTTCTGCACTTGAACCCTTAGCTAAAGTGCATCATCATATTGAGCCCATGACAAACAAGGGATAAAAATGAGAGATATCCTCTCAGGGTCAAAACAATTGATGTGGTAATGTGGCGAATCGTGGTAAATGCTCCAGCATTATCTACCCACTGATACGTCTACATAATGTTATACCTCCATTATATCCATTACATTTCTCTAAATCTGTGCTACAAGAAATTATAATAAAAAAGCCAAGAGAACCAAGGAGTCTACACAAGTTTTGTAATGTGGGAATCTATAGTTATTATGTCAAGATAGAGAAAGCACAATAACGACTTACACTAGCTTCTTTGGGCTTGAGAAAACCATCATAAACAGATGCTGGGCCGAAGCCTGTAAGTGACTTGACAACAGCATTATGGGAGAGAGTTCTTCTGCACTGCATGAACACTGAGAATGCTAATGATTTAAGTTGGTCGATGTACCGAGATCGATCGTGGGAATCGCTCGCCAGCTCTAGGATGCTCTCCAATGAGATGATCTGAAACAAAACACATAATTAATCCAGAATTCAATTAATTTCAAAAGTTGTATAGAAAAGTAAAGTAAGGTAATTATCGGGAGAAAGCGATAAGCCCGTGTGACTATACAGAACTTGGAAAGGATACGAAGACAAGGAGCCGGGATATGAGGACGGAGCTGGGATATTAGAAAAGGATGACGCAATGTTATCTTACTACTTAAAACATTGAGGCTTAAATGCTGACCCTGTAAGGTACAAGGCCTTGGTTGTACTAACCAGTCCAAGTAAGTGGGGGTGTAGGATGTAAAGCAGTTGCAAAATTATAGGAAACCTCATTCCTGGTTTCATTCATTTTACTACTGGCTCTAGACATCTCCAAATGCCATCCAAACATTATCAACCTGCTTTTGAACTTGGTTTTATATTTCTTTTAATGATTACCTAAACGTATCTCTGCTCATTTTCAGGCAAAACTGTGAGGTCTGATTTTCCTTAAGGCCTTCATGAAACCTTTTACATTCATTTTCCTTAATTTTCCTTCCCAGAATACCAATTTACAGTACACGAGGAAACTGTGTCAGTACCATAATAAGACAAGTTTTCACTGTCGCCAATAAAGTCACATCCTGAACAACAACTTAATAAACCGGTGTTATTAACCACTGTGCTCCGTCGGCTGAGAAAACTCCTTTGTCAAAAATGCGCCAGCCAACGTATGATGATGTTAGTACATCAAAAGAATAAAAAAATCCCCATGCATACAAGGGGATTATCTTCTTGAGGTTATCTCGAGATGATTTTGGAGCTTAGCGTCCCTGCGGCCCGGTCCTCGACCAGGCCTCCTTTTTGTTACACACACCCCAAGAAGCAGCCCGTCGCAGCTGTCTAACTCCCAGGTACCTATTCACTGCTAGGTGAACAAGCGTATCAGGGTGAAAGAAACTGCCCATTTGTTTTTGCCTTCACCGGGGATCGAACCTAGAACCTTAGGACTACAAATCCTGAGCGCTGTCCACACAGGTGTCAGGCCCCATCTGACAGGGTGGGGGGGGGGGGGGGGGCCACACATTTGCTTCCTCAACCTCCAGTACCCATCCCCAATCTTGAAAAAACGTCCTGATTCCCTCACTTTCCTTTCATGGGCTTAGTAATGTGTTCAAAATTACTTTGGCCTATGAAACAACTCTAAGGCTATGGCTTTAGGAACGTGTAGGACAGCCATATTATGAGGAGCCACTGAAAGTTTAGCAGCAGCAAGTGAGTAATTACCATTATATATTTCAGGCAAAATGTGTGCTATGTCCAATTATAAGATTTAGGCTTATATATAGGCCTATATATATATATATTAGCACTTTCGCCCGTTAACGACACAGTATGGCGTCAAAAATTTAGTAGATGAATGCTCGTTAACGACGCAGCATGGCGTCAAAAATTTAAAAATTTGGCCCGCTTTCACACTTGGCTGCAGGAGGGGCGCATCGCGGTTTTGGACATTATATGCATATACTCCTGTAGGGAATTTCATTGCTAATACATTGATACCAAAATGAAAGATCTAAGACGAGAAATGAGGTAACAAAGTTGAAAAGAGTACACACATTTTATTGCTCTTGATGAGCGCTCATGGGGATAATGCACTGTCACATTCTCTGTTTGCTGTGGGTGGTATGCCAGGCTTTTGGACTTTATTTATGCATATACTCCTGTAGGGAATTCTATTGCGAACACAATGATATCAAAATGAAAGACCTAGAACGAGAATTGACGCAACCAAAGTGAAAAGAGTATACATATTTTATTGCTCTTGCGCGCTCCCGGGTAACACGCTCTCGCTTTCTCCGTTTTGTGTGGGTGGTACACCGGGCTTTTGGACTTTATATGCATTTAATCCTGTAGAGAATTTTATTGTGAACACATTGATATAAAATTGAAAAACTTTGGACAAGAATTGAGATGACAAAGTTGAAAAGAGTATACACTTGTCAGTATTACCGCTCGCTCTAATCGAAGGCCAGGTGCCCCTTGGGGTGGCGCGGCGCTCTCTTGCAGGTAACCGCGGCCTGCTTTCATCACGTTGGCCGGTGGAGCGCTCCCCAGTTTTTTACATTATATGCATATACTCCTGCTGGGAATTCTTTTGCGAACACATTTATACAAAAAATTAAAAACCTAGGCAAGAATTGAGGTGACTAAAGTGAAAAGAGTGTACACATCTGATTGCTCTTGCGCGCTCCCAGGTAACACGCTCTCACTTTCCTTGTTTGTTGCAGATGGTATGCTGGCCTTTTTGGACTTTATATGCCTTTAGTCCTTTAGAGAATTCTATTGCGAACACATTGATACCAAACTGAAAAACCTAGGACGAAAATTGTGATGATGTTGAAATTGTGAAAGTTGAAAAGAGTATACACTTTTCAGTATTCCCGTGCGCTCCCGTGGAATGCCAGGTGCACCTTGGGATAGCGCGGCGCTTGCTCGCCCAAAGCGCAAAAATGTTAGTATAAATAAATACATGGTGTGTATATATTTATGCACATATATCTATATATATATATATTTTCAGTTATACGTAATGAACACCATCTTTGACACACAGATACAACTTATTAGAGCGAAAAACTAAATAAATACCGTGAGTAACATTGAAAATATGTCAACAAAGTTCTTCTCATGCAGCAAATCTCCTAATTTTTACCCCAAAAATGCAACTTCTCCAGGCAACCACGGCTAAACTACAAAAGATAGACTTTCTACTTGGATTTTCGTGCTTCCAGGGTGCTAATTAACAATACCAAAAGAACAAATACTGTTTTTGGAACACTATTTTCGGCACACAGCCAGAGTGTCACAATAAATGAGGCTCAGTTGCATTACGGTACAGCGGTTAAGGTTTATTAAGTAGTTGTTCAGAGCTTAGAACTACTCATTATAACAAATAGAACTACTCTGAAGGTAGTTTCAAAGCTGCCCAATCTTGCATATGCAGGTGATTACATGCAGTTATCAAAGATTCAGAATACTCTCATCTACAGCAAAACGCTTCTGAAACAAATGAAGTCAATCTCGACTAATTCTGGGCCACTAAGAACAGAAATTATGTTTAAAATTGTTGATTAGCTCTAGTTTTCCTTCACGCCAAGTCTTAGAAGCTGTCTTGCTGCATAATGGGAGTGTTTTGCCATCAATTCCATTAGGTCATGCAGCCCATAGGAGGAAAACTTATGACAACACGAAGCAACAAAGTACTGTACACTGCAGTACTTTGACTCAACATACTCTCTTAACCTTAAGATAAGCATTAAATCTTTGACTACAATTAAATGGAACATAATATTCAACAAACTGAGCCTCACTATTATAAATCCATTTATAATTATCAATGTGTACAATTATTTTACGTACATGCATTCATAGCTTGATGCACTGCATATTAATAGCTTGAATACTGAATATTCAACGTTTAAAACATTCATCATTAAACTTAAGTGACCCAAATATTGCTTAAAATTTGAGTCAAATAAAGTGTAGCATACCTGGAGATAGACATTATTCTGCATACTCTCGGGAAGGCCTTCCAACATGTGTTCGTAACATCTGAGGAGCCCAAGTGTAACAAGACGATGCATATCTGGGTGATCTTGGCCAACATTGAAGGGGTCCACTAGGTATATAAGAATAGCAGGCGGAGGGGTGTCCTCCTCCTCAACTTCATTCAGACTAGCACCAGTTCCAAGAGTGACAGTTCCCTGCTGTAAAGACAACAAAATTCATCTCAAAACATGAGAACTGTAACAAGTAAATTTACACCGATCTACTTAAATATGTTATAAAACTCTTAAGCTTTGCATCTACGTGCTTTACCTTGTGGGTTCCCGTAGTTGGGGACACGAAACCTCTTGGGCTTACTGAGCTCCTCCAACATCAAGTACTCACTTTGCCGGGATGCAACCCACAACCGTTGCCTAATTCCACGGTACCTACTTACTGCTGGGTGAATAGAGACAAAGTGAAAGAAAACTTGCCCAACTGTGTCATGCCCCGGATCTCTTGCTGCCACCCCCCCCCCCCCAATGACTGAACAGTCAACCACAAGACCGTGATGTATCTATAGCGAAATCTTATTTTATTTTGCATTGATAAGGGTAAGAAATGGGGAACATCATCACCTACATCCAAGTGCAGGCAATATCTCATGAAAATTGGATTGTGATGCTAGATAAAGCCTTTTAAACTCCAAGCATTTTGCATTGTTATAATGGTAGTTATGGCAGTAATGATGACTGTTGTATAGGGTGTAGTATTTCCAGCTGTGATCAGAGTATGGTGGAAACAAGGAGCTTAAACATAACACAGGGTACAGGACACAACCACACCTACTTATACAAGGAAAACAACATGTAAAACATCTGGGAATTATGATGCCTGACACACTGACATTTAGTGACCAAAACAACACAAATATAACATCAGCCAGAAGAATGATAGAATGGACTTTGAGACTGTTCAAATCCAGGTATCCCACAGCAATGCTAATACTGTACTACTTAAATCACTGGTGCTGTCCTGCCTTGAGTACTGCTCAGTACTCACTTTTCCTGTCAGAGCAGGAGAAATTTCTGAAATAAGAGGGAATACAGAGAACACCTGCATCATGCATAAACACGATAAAGCACCTAAATTACTGGGAGCATCTCAAAGCTCTTTAAATGTACTCTGGAAAGAAGAAAAGTGTCAAATAATATATACATGGAAGGTAATGAAAGGCCAGGTCCTTAATTTTCACAGTAGAATAACAATATACTAGGGCAAAAGATATGGAAGGAAATGCGAAATAGTACCAGTGAGGAGTAGAGGTGCCATTGGTACAATCAAAGAGCATTGTATGAACATCAGAGGTCCACAGATGTTCAATACTCTCCCAGCAAGCACAAAAAAATATTACCAGAACAAAATTAAGACTTCAAAAAGCAATTAGACAAGTTCCTGCAAGAAGTGCCAGACCAACCAGGCTGTAGTGGATATGTAGGCCTCTGGACTGCTCCAAGCAACAGCCTTTTGGACCAAGTTATCACAACCTGGGCTGAGCCAAGCCCCAGGCTGGGCTCAGAGAGTAGTAGAACTCCCAAAACCCTCTCTAGGTATACTCCAGGTACAGCAGTGATTGTTAGAATTATAGGATTGTGGCGACTGTAGTGGTTGCAGTGCCCTCACATTACTGGAGTGATTCACCATTACTTGCTGTACATTATTGTTATCCCCTAACTCCCCTTGCCACTTTGGGGGGGGGGGAAAAGGGTGTTTATGTAGCTTCAGGGCACCAATCCCCCCCAGCCACAGGGCATGGCGAGAAGGGACCCCTAAGACTTAAGTGATCCCTAGTTTCCACCAATTCACACATTGTTGTATTTTTTCTACTAGACATGATGAAAACATGCACAATAATTACATCTCTCCAATGAATATTAGTAAATGGTCAAAGTCAGCCTGATCAACAAATATATATTACCGTAATTCTACCTTATCGCCAAAAGAGAACGTAACAGTCTTTACAAGACAAGTTGCCCCATTTCTAACTCGCTCCCATCTGTTCTTTGCATCGACTAACCAGGCCATACTTGTGGAATAGCAGCCTTCCCAGAACCCACTCCAGGTATGAATTAAAAAATAGGATAATTTTAATTGATATACAGAAAGGAAAAAAATACTTCTAGACAGACAGAAGGATTGGATAAACAAACTGAGGCAGTGTGATGAGATCAAACCCACATCCCCATATTCCCCAGACACATGCACTACCAACTGAGCTATGGTAAGTCCAGGGATGCAGGTTCCATCCCATAGCCTCAACAGTCACTCCTAGATGCATCACATTTTTGTGATTTCATTGTGCAAAGATTGAATAATTCATAAGATACTTATTTTCATAATAGTCCTGAAATCTAAATCCTGAATCTCATATGAAACACTTTCAGCTGATATATATTTACATGGAATTTAAAGAAACTAATTATTGTCAAAACAAAATAATAAAAATTACCATACATGGGGCCCCACCCTCATTTGATCTGGCCAACTTTTTTACAAGGAATGTCCAAAAATTTTGAAGTTCAAATTTATTCACATTTCTGTTCGGATATCTCAAGTAATTAAATTTTATTAGAGTTGAAAGGTCAAAGACTTGAACATGAATTAATTCGGATTACTGTATTAGGAGATTCAAAGTACCAGGATCCGAATTACTCAGCTCTTACAGCATATTTCATATTTTTTTTTGTGTCAAAATCTGACGTGGAAAAAAAAAAAAAAACATACCGAATTGGAGACAGTTGGATTTGAAGGGTAAGTTGGTTCCGGTTCAGAATTGTGTGTGGGTGTTGTGGAAGGGTTAGTATTGTTTATGGTTTCCGAAGACGGAGGAGGCATTGGGGAAGGCGCTTGCCTTTCACTAGCTTTGCTTGATCCAGGCACCTCGAAGAGACTCTTATCCATGTTTAGTGTTGATAGGTGTGGCGCTAACCAATGTCGGCAGACCTACAAAATAAACAATTCATGAAATCATTGTGCACAACATAAAATATAATAAAGTGGATGCTTAACTCTTCAACTGCAAATTTATTTTTGGCATGCAGTTCCTTAGATGACCTCACTACTTGCTTACCTGGGAGGCAGCTACATGCTCCAATAACAACAGCAACTGTACTTGAATCAATCACCATCTGTGAGTTCCTCCTGTGCTTCAGTTACTATCTGCTAATTCCTCCTGTGCTTCAGTTACTATCTGCTAGTTCCTCTTGTGCTTCAGTTACTATCTGCTAAGTTCCTCCTGTGCTTCAGTTACTATCTGCTAGTTCCTCCTGTGCTTCAGTTACTATCTGCTAGTTCCTCCTGTGCTTCAGTTACTATCTGCTAGTTCCTCCTGTGCTTCAGTTACTATCTGCTAGTTCCTCCTGTGCTTCAGTTACTATCTGCTAGCTCCTCTTGTGCTCCAATTACTATCTGCTAGTTCCTCCTGTGCTTCAGTTACTATCTGCTAGTTCCTCCTGTGCTTCAGTTACTATCTGCTAGTTCCTCCTGTGCTTCAGTTACTATCTGCTAGTTCCTCCTGTGCTTCAGTTACTATCTGCTAGTTCCTCCTGTGCTTCAGTTACTATCTGCTAGTTCCTCTTGTGCTCCAATTACTATCTGCTAGTTCCTCCTGTGCTTCAGTTACTATCTGCTAGTTCCTCCTGTGCTCCAATTACTATCTGCTAGTTCCTCCTGTGCTTCAGTTACTATCTGCTAGTTCCTCTTGTGCTCCAATTACTATCTGCTAGTTCCTCCTGTGCTTCAGTTACTATCTGCTAGTTCCTCCTGTGCTTCAGTTACTATCTGCTAGTTCCTCTTGTGCTCCAATTACTATCTGCTAGTTCCTCCTGTGCTTCAGTTACTATCTGCTAGTTCCTCTTGTGCTCCAATTACTATCTGCTAGTTCCTCCTGTGCTTCAATTACTATCTGCTAGTTCCTCCTGTGCTTCACTTACTATCTGCTAGTTCCTCCTGTGCTTCAGTTACTATCTGCTAGTTCCTCTTGTGCTCCAATTACTATCTGCTAGTTCCTCCTGTGCTTCAGTTACTATCTGCTAGTTCCTCTTGTGCTCCAATTACTATCTGCTAGTTCCTCCTGTGCTTCAGTTACTATCTGCTAGTTCCTCCTGTGCTCCAATTACTATCTGCTAGTTCCTCCTGTGCTTCAGTTACTATCTGCTAGTTCCTCCTGTGCTTCAGTTACTATCTGCTAGTTCCTCTTTGTGCTCCAATTACTAGTTACTATCTGCTAGTTCCTCCTGTGCTCCAATCGCCATACATGATTTTCCCATTTGATTTCAATAATTTTAGCCATCACACCGTGATGAAGCACTTTTAAATAGTTTCTGGGGTTAATATGACCCGTAAATAATACAAGTGGAATGATGAAATTAGGAAATTAGAGCATGTTTGACCTAAAGTGGAATATACAGCTATAGTGTCCGTACACCAAACACGTACAAATAAAACAAATTCACACAGACAACGGAATGCATTCCAGACCCAAGCAATATGAGGTAATGGTTAACACTGAACTGAGGACAAATGAAAGATTCAATATGATAAATCCAGAGCACCGTAAAATTACTTATTTGCCGACAGACAGAACGCACGGTTCTGGTCAAGGGCCCGACGGCTGAGTGGACAGCGCTTCAGATTCCTAATCCTGTTTTTCCAGGTTCGATCCCCAGTGGAGGTGGAAACAAATGGGCAATTTCTTTCACCCTGATGCCTCTGTTCACCTAGCAGTAAATAGGTACCTGGTAGTTAGACAGCTGCTATGGGCTGCTTCCTGGGAATGTGTAACAAAAAGGAGGCCACGGGGACGATAAGCCCCAAAATCATCTAAGATAACCACAAGATAACTACCACTGACTATATATTGAACAGTATTTGCATGCACAAATTCACATTTTTCCCTACACAACCATTTGAACATCACTTTCAATAAATGTACAGGTATGCTGAAACATACTAAAATTATTTCAGAAAATATCTGGCAGGCAGTATTTTTTGAACCTGTCCTGTTTAGGTAACACTTTTTGAAGCTATGTGGACCATGGTACATACATTGATATAACAGACAATTAGATACAGTAGAAGAATTTAACACTATTCACTTTATAGTCCGAAAAAATAAAGCTTTTTTAGCTTTATTTTTTAAATATTCTCAGGCCTAAATATTCCAAACAAATATTCTCAGGCCTAATATAGCACGTATATATATATATGCTATATTAATCTTTGGAAGGTTAGGTTAAGTTAAGTTTTCCTTGCAACATCAGTACAAAAACTTTCCCAGTTTATCCAAATTCAATAGTACCAATTTCTAGTTTCTAGTTGCCATTTACGGCAATATTTGTACGATGGTCCTCACTGTTAGTATACATACAACCTAAACACAAGAATGGCCTGCTTTTGAACCAGAAATATGTAGAACAGGAAGCCGTAGTTGTAAACTACTGAGCAACTGTGTAGACGAGATGTGTTTCCTCATATAGTGACAAGGCTGGAGCAACAGAAGAGGTAGCATATGCTAAAACCACTTCCAAAATTATTTATGATAAACTACAGAAAAAGCAAAGCCATTCCTTTAACTACAAATAAATGCAGTAATCACAAAAGTTTATTTACATAAATTGAATACATTCTGAAAGTGTCATGATGAAGCGTTATCCATTTGGTCTGTACCCTTTAATGCTGAACAAATAATTGGTAATTTGTATAATAGCAACAAAGCATTAGCCCTCATGACCCAACCCCGGTCAGCCAAGCGGACAGCACGCTGGTCTTGTGATCCTGTGGTCCCGGGTTCGATCCCAAAGGGCGCCGGCGAGAAACAATGTGCAGAGCTATCACCCTATGCCCCTGTTACCTAGCAGTAAAATAGGTACCTGGATGTTAGTCAGCTGTCAAGGGCTGCTTTCTGGGGGTGGAGGCCTGGTCGAAGACTGGGCCGCAGGGACACTAAAGCCCCGAAATCCTCTCAAGATAACCTCAAGAACCCCCCACACACATGACATGAAAGTGATAATGCCATCTTTGTATGCCTCCGGACACACTGTATGCCCCCGGACACTTTAACAACTCATAACTCATCTTTTCTGACGTTGTCACTCTCTCCATTTTGCCAGTACTACAAATACATTAACATAACTATATTGATAACTATCAATAACTATTGATAACTATCAATTCTATGTAATGAGGCCACACAAAATTAAGACAAATTAGTTACTCAAAGCTGAACTAAATCAATATATCAAATTTATGCTGCATTGTATTATATCTACCAAGAGTTTATTAAAATATTGCAGACTTAGGAAAGCCAAACACACAGCTGAAAATTGGAACTATAAGAGAATGCAATTCAACATTACCTGAGCATAAACTTTGAGCTTAGTCGACATGTGAGAATCGCCCAGGAGGGAGAACCATTCCTCAAGAGGTTCATTCGCTACTTTAGATGCCGCAGTTTTACTTATCCGCATGATGCCATTTCTTAACACTCGCTGGATGGGTGAGTGCCGGCCTAATCTACACAACTGTAAACAAAATAGAAAAAATAAGTATAATGTTCACTCTCACTGTTTTTGTATCAAAACAAGGTACAGAAGTATTTAGACGCCCAGCCCACACATCACAAAAAGTCATGACTTCATAGTGTTCCAAAACGTCATCACTTCTTTCATTTTCAAATGTATGAACTCCGTATGCAAATTTCAGCCATGTTACTGTGACTTGGTGTCTACATACATTAGTACATTTAACCCTTAACCAGCTCCAATCGCTATTTGTGATTACCTTCTGTGTGTGAATTTCCATTAGCGAATTTTTACATTATATTTGCAAGCCATTTTTTTGTCTTGTGCACCACGATGTAGGACTTTTAATTACCTGAGCTTTTTAAGGTTTAAGACAGCACACACCGAGTGCCTAAACTGTCCACTATAGTACAATTCATTACCGACATACAGTGTTCAAGGGACAGTCCTCTTCTCTACCACAACATCTCTCTCAGTACACAAGATGGAAGAGGCCAAACCCCCAAACATAGCAGCGATACGAAGGTACGAGAAACAACTACACGGCAGTGAGGAGAGAGGCAGAAAGAAATTTTGAAAAAGGGATTGCGGACAAATGTAAATCAGAACCAGGTCTATTCTATAAATTCCTAAACAACAAATTGCAGGTAAAGGATAATATTCAGAGGTTGAAAATAGGAAATAGATTCATGGAAAATAAAAAGGAAATGTGTGAAACATTAAACGAAAAGTTCCAAAGTGTGTTTGTACAAAATGAAATCTTCAGGAAACCAGACACAATAAGAATTCCAGAGAACAACATAGAGCACATAGAGGTGTCTCTAGAGACGAAGTGGAAAATATGCTCAAGGAGCTAAGTAAGCACAAAGCAGTTGGTCAGATGGAGTTTCACCATGGGTTCTGAGAGAATGTGCACCTGAGCTCACCATTTCACTTCATCTGATTTTTCAGGCATCCCTGTTTACAGGAGTTGTAGCTGATGTGTGGAAAAAGGCTAACATAGTTGTTCCAATCTACAAAAGTGGCAGCAGGGAAAACCCCCCTCAATTATAGACCTGGATTTTTGACAAGTGTAATAGTCAAAATATTGGAAAAAATAATTAAAATTAAATGGGTAGAACACCTGGAGAAAAACGATATAATATCAGACAGACAGTGTGATTTTTGATCTGGAAGATCTTGTGTAACAAATTTACTCAGTTTCTATGATCGAGCCAGAGAGATATTACAGGAAAGAGATGGTTGGGTTGACTGCATCTATCTGTACCTAAAAAAGACTTTTGACAGAGTTCCACATAAGGAGGTTATTCTGAAAACTGGAACATATTGGAGGGGTGACAGGTAAGCTAACACGGATGAAAAATTTCCTAACTGATAGAAAAATGAGGGCCATAATCAGAGGCAATATATCGGATTGGAGGAATGTCAAGTAGAGTACCACAGGGTTCAGTTCTCGCCCCGGTAATGTTCATTGTCTACATGAACGATCTACCAGATGGAATACAGAATTATATGAACATGTTTCCTGATGATGCTAAGATAATAGGGAAGATAAGAAACTTAGATTATTGTCATTCCCTTCAAGAAGACCTGGACAAAATAAGTATATGGAGCACCACTTGGCAAATGGAATTTAATGTGAATAAATGCCATGTTATGGAATATGGAATTGGAGAACATAGACCACACACAACCTATAAATTATGTGAGAAATCTTTAAAGCATTCTGATAAAGAAAGGGATCTAGGGGTGGTTCTAGATAGAAAACTGTCACCTGAGGACCACATTAACACTTTCGTGTTCCCGGTGTGCGCCCCCTAGCCTACCCCAAAGTGGGCCGAGCATTTCGCGTGAGTGTGCCGTCATACTAAAATATGTATACTCTTCAGTTTTCTCACCTCAATTTTCGCTGTATGTCGTTCATTTTGGTATCATTGTTTGCAATAGAATTCCCTACAGGGGTATATGCATATAAGGTCCAAACGTCTGGCGTGCCACCCACACCAAACCCAAAAATTGGCCGAGCGTTACTCGTGAGCATGTAACAGAACTAAAAAGTGTATACTCTTCAGTTTTCTCACTTTAATTTTCGTGTTACATCATTCATTTTGGTATCAATTTGTTCGCAATAGAATTCTCTAATGGAACATATGCATTTAAGGTTAAAAAAGCCAGTGGAAAATCAGAAGAACGTTACCGATGAGCGAGCACCCAGCCGCACACCACCACAAAAATGAGTATACTCTGTTCAGTTTTTCTCACATAAATTTTCATGCTACGTTGTTCATTCTGGTATCAAATTGTTTGCAATCTAAAAGGCGCACATTTTAAAAGTAGTCCCATAATGATTGGGAAAGCATTTAATTTTAACTTATTTTAATTTTGGACGCAACATGCATCCCCGCCGGACATCCGTAAAGTTATTAATGGACGCAGATTCCGACTCCAGCAGACGAAAGTGTTTATTGTACTTAGCCCACTAGTGACAAATTCATACATCTTCCCTAATTACAGTTAACACTACTTCCTACCTATTAGTGGATGGTCAGGTGAGGTGTGAACCGATTATACAATACAAGCAATCGATAGCAAATGATCATCAGTCTAATTTCAGGAGTGGTTCAGTTCAGATGTTTGAGAGATACTGCACATCTTCAACATTCACCAACAACAATATAACACTCGACGTGTCCAGTTCCTACCCCTCACAAGATGTGTCAGTAAGGACACAGAGCAGACAGCCAGACTCCAGCCGCATTGAGCTTCCACGCTCTGGTCCCACATCAAGCTTTTACACTCTCATTCCGCACTGAGCTCCTTGACTCCACCCGCATTCAGAACACCACGCTATGACTCACCCAGCATCCGAGCTCTCTACCCCCGGCCTCACTTGACTCTCTGCCCTGCTCCAGGCTTCGTCTCAACTTGTAGGACAATTCACTACACTGCCAATAAACCAACTGCTGTAACCAAGACTACTAAATAAATATAAAAACCACTAAACTCTGTGTGTATAATCAACCAAATAACGAACACGTAAACATATGTTACAATTCTATCCATTTGGTTTTAACCATTTTCAGTATTGTTTTGACGACCATGCTTGTCATTGATATGGGTTTATAATTTAGAGTGTGTTCTCTGCCACCATTTTCGTAGGCTGGAACTATGTTGGCCTTTTTCCATATATATCTGCTAAGACTCCTGTACGCAAAGATGTCTAAAATATTCAAGTCAGATGGCAACTTTCCTCAGAACCCAAGGAGAAACTCCTGATCCTACTGCTTCATTTCTTCCTAGCTCCTCGAATATTTGTTCACTGTTACAAGACATCCCTACTTAAATCACTTCTCACGTCATTAATTAAATCACTTCTCTTGACACCAGAGAAAACTGTCTATATTACAACCAATAATATTATTTAAAAATATAAACAAAATATTAGTACACCAAGCAAGAACTACAAAGCAATGGTTCCTATCATCGTAGGATTGTATACTGCTAAACAGCATATACAGTATACCTCAGGATAACTTGCATACTTTCAAAGCCACATTGACAACCACGTCAATATAACCTGCATCTTTTTTGACAGATCATTATGTGTCAGGGCGCCTGACAGCTGAGTGAACAGTGCTTCGGATTCGTAGTCCTGAGGTTCTGGATTCGATCCCCGATGGAGGCGGAAACAAATGGGGCAGAGTTTCTTTCACTTTGATGCTCCTGTTCACCTAGCAGTAAATAGATACCTGGGAGTTAGACAGCTGCTATGGGCTGCTCCCTGGGGCTGTGTAACAAAAAGGAGGCCTGGTTGAGGACCGGGCCGTGGGGACGCTTAGCCCCAAAGTCATCTCAAGATAACCTGGTTGATACCTGGTTGATGGGGTTCTGGGAGTTCTTCTACTCCCCAAGCCCGGCCCGAGGCCAGGCTCGACTTGTGAGAGTTTGGTCCACCAGGCTGTTGCTTGGAGCGGCCCGCAGGCCCACATACCCACCACAGCCCGGTTGGTCCGGCACTCCTTGGAGGAATAAATCTAGTTTCCTCTTGAAAATGTCCACTGTTGTTCCGGCAATATTTCTTATGCATGCTGGGAGGACGTTGAACAACCGCGGACCTCTGATGTTTATACAGTGTTCTCTGATTGTGCCTATGGCACCTCTGCTCTTCACTGGTTCTATTCTACATTTTCTTCCATGTCGTTCACTCCAGTACGTTGTTATTTTACTGTGTAGATTTGGTACTTGGCCCTCCAGTATCTTCCAGGTGTATATTATTTGGTATCTCTCTCGTCTTCTTTCTAGTGAGTACATTTGGAGGGCTTTGAGACGATCCCAATAATTTAGGTGCTTTATTGCGTCTATGCGTGCCGTATATGTTCTCTGTATTCCCTCTATTTCAGCAATCTCTCCTGCTCTGAAGGGGGAAGTGAGTACTGAGCAGTACTCAAGATGGGACAACACAAGTGACTTGAAGAGTACAACCATTGTGATGGGATCCCTGGATTTGAAAGTTCTCGTAATCCATCCTATCATTTTTCTGGCTGTCGCAATATTTGCTTGGTTATGCTCCTTAAACGTTAGGTCATCAGACATTATTATTCCCAAATCCTTTACATGCCGTTTTCCTACTATGGGTACATTTGATTGTGTTTTGTACTCTGTATTATGTTTAAGGTCCTCATTTTTACCGTACCTGAGTACCTGGAATTTATCACTGTTAAACATCATGTTATTTTCTGATGCCCAGTCGAAAACTTTATTAATATCAGCTTGAAGTTTTTCAATGTCTTCAGCCGAGGTAATTTTCATACTGATTTTTGTGTCATCTGCAAAGGATGATACGAAGCTGTGACTTGTATTTTTGTCTATATCTGATATGAGAATAAGGAAAAGCAGCGGTGCAAGGACTGTATCCTGAGGTACAGAGCTTTTCACTGCACTTGGACTAGATTTTATATGGTTGACAGTTACTCGCTGAGTCCTGTTTGACAGAAAACTGA